AAATTATGGGCAACCACTGTTCCTACGGAAATTTTCACCGAATCACTATTTCACCATGACGTAGTGCAGGATAATTCTCCTGTATGTTCCAACAAACAATTACTAAAATATTTATATTTCAAAATGTATTACTCAGAATATTTCTTTTTTGGTAACTTATGATAGTATGGTACTCATTTTGAGTAGTGCCACAAGGTAACAGATGCTTACCCGGTATTAGAAAAAAGAAAATAGTGATATCTTTGATGGTAGTTGAAAAAAGGGAGAGTTGACCATGAGTACGTCACAATCACAATCCAATGCATCCAATACATCACAATCCAATGACCAAATAGCCAGTTGCAGATTCACAGAGATTAAGTGATCTCATATTTCAAAGTTGGAACAAAAATAATTTTCTTATAATTTGTCTGATTTATTTTAAATTTTTACATTCTGTTTCTCATATTTTTTGCTTTCACACAACTGAACACATGTTAACAAAGCCTGAATTGCCCTATCAGCTTCAGTTAAAGGCAGGTTATTTTACGTACATCACTACCACTGCTGTAATGTATTTTCAATTGCGGCATTTTTGATGAAGGCGTACATCAATTTCCTGTTCCTGTACCCAAGCATCATTACTCATGTGTTATTCAGTTGATGATGCATTGTGGGACGTTGCTGTCGACAAGTCGGTACATTGTGAGCAGCTGATAGTAGTATGAGTAAATATGAAGTAGAGTCAGTAGAATACCCTGCCTTTAAAGGGAAATCTGATATTGAATTTCAATGCACATCTCCCATCATAACATTCATACATGCGTCTTCCCAACAAGAAACAACAGTGACAAAGCATACCATTATCACAATGGATCACTGTCTTACAACATTGCCCCAAATAAAATTACATAGAATGACTTGGAAATTTCTCCTCTGTACCGTTGCCTTTTAAATTTCACTTGGTCTTTGCAGATTTCTTGGACTTCTTTGACTTTGCTGATGTCACACCAGCTCTGCTCTTTGCAGACAGCCTGGGCGGATCCTTGGTCCTTGGAGGGGGGCCAAGGTGCTCTGGGCGGGGCAGGGCAGTCTTCTCGAGGTAGAAAGAGAGGTCTTCAAGGGTTCCTTCTACCCTGGTCTGAAGCAGCTTCTCGGTCTGAGAGGTGTGGTGCTGGATCGCATCCTGAATCAACTCAGATACTTGCTGTAAATGCAGATGGAGAGAGGGAGGAAGAAATAGAGAGAGAGCGAGAGAAAGAAAAAAATTAAAGAATGGGAGAAAAGGGGTATCAAGTCACAAGATCTTTAGGTCAAAAAAGTGCCAAGGCCAAAATATAATTATAAGAGAACAAAAAAAAAAGTATTTCCTTCCTATCATTACACTTAATCTTTTACTACTCTTGCATATAGATACACCATTCTCTAAGTTCAACTGAACTACAAGCAAGATGGGCTAATAAGCAATGTGATGTATGCATGAAAAGCCTTCCCCACTGCACCATAAACTTGAAAGGTCTAGCTTGTAGGACATTGCCTATGAATAAATAACCAATCTGATGTCTGCAAGTGTTCACATTCAATGGTTTATTTTTGACTTTTTTATCTATCTTGGACGGTGTCTTTGTTTTCCTTGAAGGATTGGTTCTCCTCTATGTTGTTGAGGGTTCTCTTCTTGTACCTTGATGTCATTCAGTCTGGACTTGAATTGAATTGAATTGAATTGATCTTTATTCATTCATCATAAAAACATCATAACATGTCATACATATAAAATACAAAACATAGCATACAAGTTAAAGGGAAACATTTACAATACAATACAACAACAAAAATATATATGAATGTGGAGACAGCTAGGAAAGCCAACTTCTCTTCCTCTTCCAGTTCACTCATTCTTCTTCCATATTCCAAGGAGTCTCAGACACTTTATTTATTGTTTACATTCCTTTATATTCCCAAGTTTTATTTTGGACTTACCTGTCTGTCTAGGACAGAGTCTTTGCTCTCCTTGAAGGGTTGGTTCTCCTCTATGTCATTGAGGATTGTCTCTTCCTGTACCTTGATGTCATTCAATCTAGACTTCTCTTCCTCTTCCAATTCATTTATTTGTCTTTCGTATTCCCAAACACTCAGTGGTTTAGCTTCCTGTGTAAAGTATATCAAATGTAATCAAATGCTCATGGTGCAAAAGATGAAATGACAAAAAGCAATGTAGACATGTTTAAAGCTTATCAACTCTAGTGTGGCTAGGAGGGATTAGACCACACAGCGAGGTCACTGACAGGTGACTATCTTATCAACTCAGCTTTCAAATAACATAAGAAATAGAGGATCATGGGGGACCAACAGGCACACCGATCAGGGAAGTTTTCTATATAGAGGGAGCAAGTAGCTACAAGTAGGACAGTGGGGCTTTAAAACAAGTATAGGAGTTATAAATGAGTGTCAATGATACTTTATAAGCTGGAGAAACTGAATCGTAGGTAAAGTTTGTAGGGTCAGTCACATCATGCAATATTCTACATGTTGATACGAAATATCAATATGGATAGTGTCGCATTTAGAGGGGCCTATTACTGAAACTATTTCAATCTTAATATCTTCACTCTGTGTAAACTCACATCAAGAGGATAGGCTTCTGGTGGAGGAATGACATCTAGGTGTTGCTTTACAGTCATTGGTTCCCTGTCTGTAGTGAATACCATCTGGTAGAGTTGATAGTGGGCCATGTAGGTTTCAAACAAGTGGCTGGTGAAGAGTCTAAGGTTGCTCTCACTGATTTTATTCTCATTCAGGTATCGCTGGGAGATTTCACGATAAATCTTGATTGCTGATGATAGTGGTTGACCTGACAAAACAAATAATATAAAATTAATTAAAACTACAATCCTTCATTTATACACAACAAGATGAATGTTTAGATTATGAGTGTGATCTATCTTACAAATAATTCAATGTAATATTCAATTCTAATTTCTAAAACTGTTAGCCTATAGAGTACCGAAGCTGTGACATCATAAAAATCTATTTTTGGAATTTCTCAATTTTTCTTCATTTTCCGAAAGAGCATAAAAAATAATGTCCAAATGTTGAAAACCAATTGAATATGTTAAGTATTGGCTGACATATGACCATCTGAATAAATAGATTTCCTATAGGAACTCAGTGTTATATTGCTCTGGCTCGTAATGTTATGAACCAGAGCAATATAACAGTCAATCAGTCAATCACCAAGAGTTGACTTCACTTTTATGACCGACAGGTCTTATTTAAAATTAATGCACTGTGCGCTGAACCTACCATCATAAGCAATTCTCAGGCCTTAAATTTCAGTATTTTTAGGGCAAGGCCACTTTTCTGTAGGGCACATTCCTATATTACAGCACAAATAGGAAGAATTGGAAAGGGCACAAAAAATCTCCAAGGCCAATGAGAGGGGCATTGAGGCCAATCAAAGGGGCATCCACGGCCATGGCCTTGGATTAATTTAAGCCCTGAATTCTGATCAAAATAAATATGAACGCAAGCTCAAGTTTTTTTGGGTGGGACAACAAGTTGCAAGTTGCTGATTGTCACTGCGCTTACCACCGAATCTGGTGACAGCGAATTATGATACAATACACATGGACACTGACTACTAAATGGCTATAGCTGTATACAGGTTAGTAGTAATTACCAATTGTTCCTTGTTGAAACTGTGATGCGACCTGTACGAGTGCTGGGACCTGTGACCAAGGGACACCCTTCTGGACTCCAAACATCAAGCTTCCATAGAGGAAGTCTAGAAGAATTGATTCTCTCATTTGAGCATCTTCATCAAAATCTTCCATCGCCCAGCCAAGCAACTCTCCAAGCCGCAACCTGCCATCCATTTTCTGTGCATTAATTGTAAAGAAGAAAAAAAAGTTATAAAAAAAAAATCATGGTTTACATCCTAGATTAGGGTGTCTGAATGATTTTTCAATTTTATCTTTGGGAGCGGTTTTCACCATTTTGGTTGGAAAATTGAAAAAAAAAAAAATTTAATCAGAATAATACATTTCAAATTTCAAGACTAACCAATGTTTCTACCAAAAGATACAGCCCCTCAAAATCTAGGCAATATTCATCCAATTTTTTGTCAGAATCGACGAAAAACACTTAAGACTTATTTTGTTTTGCTAAATTCAGCAAAACAGCTGCATTGCGCAATATGCAAGCGTACTCATAAGCGTACGCTTGTTGCTTAGCTGCATGCGCTACTTGAGCCCGATCGCAACCAAAACACAAACATACACACGCGCGCTATCACACAGTCCGAATTGCATATTCATGTGCAGATTTTACACGCCATCGCCATGGGTTTGGGCTGAGCAGCGCTCACGCCTCCCTAATTAGCTGATCGAAAAATGGGGGGAACAGTATTTTTAAAATGTAATAACTTGTGATCCCTTGGGGCTGGCGAAAAACAAGCGCATGGATCGATTCCGTAATAATCAATCGATCTGCCATTTCTAAAAAGTGGCAAATTTTAGAGCTAGGATGCAAACAACATTTTAATCGCTGTTTTGACCAAGATATTTTTAGAATTCTAAAATGACGGCCCTTTGGAAATATGGAGATTAATCTGCTCTTTCATACGACACCTCATTTATTGAGTATCACCTTCAGGATCACAAGAAATAAACATTTGAATCTCGATTTGGTCATAAAAACATTGGCCAATTTTGCATGATCGCGCAATGCACATAGACTGCATAGGGATGCGTGCAATCTCTATGGGAAGGATTTTAGGACACAACATCGGGTGCGGGATCAGACACCCTACCTACATGGTTATCATTTAGGTATGGGTGTGATCATATTTTGCAGGTGACCATCATTGCGGACAACCTTTATCCTTGAACTTTAGCAACACTTCTAAATTCTGATACCATCAAGATGGCTTTCATCACCCCCCCCCCCCCCCCCACCCCCATGATGAATATCAGTCTAGATGTCTACTCTTTTCCTTTTGAATTTTAGCATTTTTGCCATCGATCTTATATCGACATGTTGACTTGTTTTGGCGCTCATCATTTGGCATTTCATCATCATCATCATTTGTTAGTCTAGAGTAGATTCCACTTTATATTCATCATCACCATCATCATCATTATTAACAGTTAACCAAGCCATCTTCATTCACAGCTCAGTCATACTCATAGTCATAGACCTACGATTGCACGATTGCACGTTACAAAAAGTTAAACGTGTGGGACCATTAAAATGGTTTACTTGAACAATATTTGCCAAGTAGATAAGTTATTTGCCAAACACTTGAATGACAAATAATAAACTTAAAGGAACAATGAACATAATACTTTAAAAAGATTCTCACTTCTAAATTTGCAACCCATTTAGCGTTTTCCACTGAAATATTCTCGGCCATTTCGCTTGTGTTGCTATGCAACTTCTTCTATTGTTGTGAGCGCACGATGAGTGCATGTACGTGGCGCACACGTACGTACGACTTTGCAGCACACGCGAACCGGCAAAATTAGACGCGTTGCGTCTGTGTACCGTCACGGCTCCCGTGATTTTGTAGGTCCATGTTTTGACGAATGAAGTGAGCGCAACTATAAAACCGTTTAGAAATTTACACGAACAAGGAGGTCCCCTAGAGTGTTTCTGCCCCCCTCCCCCCCCCCCCCAAAAAAAAGATGAAAGATTAACCCTCAAAATTCTCGATCAGACAGCTAGGCCAAAAGAAAATAAGAGGAAAAGAGAAACGAAGAAGAAGAAAAAGTATCGGTAGTAATAGTAATAATAGTAGAAGGAGAAGAAGAAGAAGAAAAAAAGGAATAATGATAATAATAACGAAGAAGAAAAAGAAGAAGGAAGCTAGAGGAGGAGGAAAGGGGAGCAATACCTCAGTAATGCATTTTAGAAGTCTTGTCGTTATTTTATCTTTTTATTGGTGGAAGTGCATTTAAGATGAGTCAAGGATCGACAATCACTTTAGAGATGATAGGACAAGGCTGAAGCGTTTTTCTTTTTTAATTTATTGTTATGATGAAGCAAAGAGAAATACGCTTCACATTTGTGTTTCTTGTATTACAGAACTCAGTGAATAGGAACTTTTGTTGTGCGCAGTATTAATTCATTTTACACCTCAAAACACCCCCACCATATCTGAACAAGCCTTTAAAATACTTAAAGAAATGAGAAGGGACCGAAAACTCGTAAGAGAGTTTTAAAAGTGTCACCCAATTTGGTTGTGACTTAAATTTGATCAATAGCTAAAACTGAGCGAGGCTAGGGGTAGGAAACATTTTCAAAATGTTTCTACCTAATCAGTTAAGTCTGGTTACGTGTCCAGAAACATCGCTTGAAAAATATATTGCATGTTTTTTTTCATAAAGAAACAACATTTCTCTATGAGATCGACTTCCATTTTGACAATTCAAATATTGATTGAAAGTATTTCTTTTTCTTTAAGTATCACTTTTCCATATCAATGTAAAAAGTAAATATGGCTGACAGTAAAGTAATTGCTCATAATAAAATGCCCAGCGCACACCACACGGCCCTCATGTGATCCGAATTTTAAAGAAATGGCGATTATATTAGATATGGAAATCTAAACAAACGCCTTCTTCCTGATCTAGATGATGAATAATGACAAGAATACTAGCAACCGGCATGTTAGTGCACTGTAACCTGCTGATCAGAATTAAGGCGGAATCGGCTTCAGATCGAAGACAATCGCACTATTAATTGGTCTGACGTCATTTTTTTAAATTCTAAGCCGATTTAGCTTTTCCTTTTTATCAAGCTTATAGCTATTCAGATCCTCGAACATTAATATTTTCTAAGTTTAAATATTCATATAAAATGCTATTGCAATTTCTTTCAAAATCGGATCATAGCCAGATTGAGGTGTACGGTAGGTTTGGTTTTGATGGGACTAACATCGATCATCATAGTGTTATGATCCTTCTACCAAAACAAATCTAGTACATGCATGTATAATTATGTTCTATCTCTTCGATGTAACTATGCGACATGGATTTTGGTAAAAAATTATCGAATCATAAAATATATCAAGGCCTTTGTGATTTGATTGAACATAGTCAAAAGAAGGAAGGAAAACGAAAGTAATCTTCTCATACTTGTCTCCTCTAATTATCCTTATTTCATATCTTCCAAAATGTAAGAAAAAAAACACCCTAAAATAAATAATAAATCAATCTTCATAGATATAATGACACAACAAACAAAAACTTGACAGTAGAATAAAAATTAAACGGCTTGTCTGTTTATTTTCACATACCCCAGAGGCATCGCCTTGCATTAATAATCTCGATATGTATCTAATGCATGCTCGTTCGTCTACATCATTTAAATACATTTTCAGTGTGAGAATGATATTTAGGAAAAGGAGACATACAGTTTTTTAGGCACAACATGAACAATGTGCGCTTAAATGATTAAACCTTTGATTGGAGACAGAACCAATCTCAATTTTTGCTCGGAATGTTTCATTTCACATTCTTCCCTTCATCCTTCCCGTGATGACGTTCATCCAAGTAGACTCTACGAATCACTCTAGAGATGATAAACATACTTTAAAAGCTGTTTCCTTCATTTGATGATACACTCCACGATCCAATTCTTGTGGCTTTCCCCGTTCATCCCTATTTAATTCCTGGAACGCTAGCCCATCCCACTACAGTGGCCCTGTATTAAACTTGCCAGTCATTGTGACTCGGACAAATAGACATGAAAAGCTCCTCAAGCTATATGATTATACTTCAGTTATAAATGGCGTTTTTGAAACTCATCTTAATAACAATCGATTGTTCTTCTCTGAATAAAAAACTTGACATGATTGATCGAACCGTATTCCCAAATCGTAACATTCATTCATATCAAAAGATTATAATCGTCGGGAGCCAGAATTCGTTCAAACAAATGTAGAGATACTGGCGGTTCATGCATGTTTCTCCCTCCCCCTCCCCGTTAACGCATAATATTGTCATTCAAAGCATAACGACATTATATACCCACAATTAGCGCGTCTTGACAGGTTGCCCCCCCCCCCCCCAGTTTATTTCAAAAAGTAATTTGAAGATTACAAGTAATATGTCATGTATCTTTTACGACTTATTTTTGACAATATTATTACTGACAAATAGTTCTGATGGTAAGTGCTATTTGTCACAATCCATGTCATATCATAATTTGTTTTCGTCATTGGGGGCGCGGTAACTCCTGGTTCTCTGGTAGGTTTTCGTTGTGCAGGATGTACTGGAAGAAGAGATCTACTTCGAACGGATCAAACGGGTTCAGTTTCAAGGTGAGATCGTTCATCGGTAGCTGATACATTGCGAGCTGACGAGCTCTTTCATCTACGAGAGAAATAGAAAATCATTATGATATCAAAAGAGGGTACATTATTATAGACCGCATGTCACGATTCCAGGGCCCCGTCTTACAAAGAGTTGATGTCAATCACAACTATGTACATAAGAGATGGGAGACTGCAAACTTGCGATTGATTGGAGGACTTGATATTGATTCGGATCAATATCAACTCTTTGTAAGACGGGGCCCAGGCCTCTCATTGGTCTAAACAGGAGGCATAAAGTTGGTTCACTACGGAATGCTGAGCAAAATAGCCTCATCTTATCTATAGGCATGAAATATTATAGCCCCCCCCCCCCCCCCCGGGTGATCTTGAGACTGCATTATACCACTCGACTAGTCCGCCTCGTAACGAAGCACAATGAAGTTTCGAGATCAACTTGGGCAGACTGTGCCCCAGGCGGTCAATATTTCTATGTCAATTTACAAATTATGTAACATGATAACGATACACAAGGATTCTAGGAAAAGAAAACATAACCATGATTATTAAAGGTATTACAAAGTTTTGGTATGGGGTCATGAATTTGGTTCAAATTAACATATTGGAAGCATATGCGTTTTTACAATATTCAATGATCGTTGTCGCGTTTGAAATCGAGTCTAAAGTACTGGAATTGTAAATAATAAACTCTTTATGTTGTATAGCACCCTCTCAAGACTGATATTACTTTAGCTCTAAAGTATTGTTTTGCTTTACTACAGTCGACCGATTTGCTATTCCCGTTTGGAAATTATATATCAGAACTGCATACTCTGAGATTTTCATGATCGCATCTACCATGGAATGGCCTTAAACCGCTATTTGAAAAATTTGAAATTTACCGGGAGCACCGGTAAATATTTGATTATTCAATTTCTCAAAAGCAGAAGTGTTTTAGGGGGTACATTTTCTAGTGCTCATAATACATACACAGGGGCATCCAAATATATCAATATTTCAAAGAATTACTATCAATCCAACTTTCAAAATTTCCCGAAACTTTGCATTACCCTTAACATCTGTCATTATTAAGTTTTAACTTGATCATGAATACAAAATAAGGAAAACCATGAATGATCCTTTAGACAGAAATGTATACAACCAATTTTAGTCAATGCGTATTATTTTATTATATGGCTAACTATATATCAAAAGAAAATATCACGTTATCATAGTTATCTAGTGTTCCTAGATCGTACCTGGAAGATGACGATGACGGTGATCTTTTCCTTGACCCGGTGGATGGGGGTGAGCACGACGACCAGGGTTGGCTTCAACCGGAGGCGGAACGGGGCGTTCCAGCTGGACTGCATCTGTTGGCTCGCCTCGGCTATCTTCCACATTTAAATTCACATATTGCTGCTCAACGTTGCCTGTGGGCGATTGGTTAGGAGTTTCTCCTAGGACCTGTTCCTCAAAGACTTTTTTCAATGACAAATTACAAAAATCAGTGACAAATCTGTTGATAACCAATCAGAAGCAGGGGTTTCAGTAGATTATAGCATAGACTGCCATATGTCACTGAAGACAAGTTTTGTGAAACGGGGCCCTGCAAACAAATAGGAATAACGTCTGTTAAAATAATAACATATGGGGAAGGGAATTGGGATGTTTGCTACATCTAACAATTTCAATGATGACGAGCGTGAGTCTGAACGGGTTTTCCGGTATTAGAAAATACATTTTCACTGGATGAGTTCAATTAAAGAAAAAAAAAGAAGATGAATGAAACCACGAAATTTTCCACTCTTTATTTACTAGGTAAAAAAGATGCCCCACACGAGGGAACTTATGTGTCCGACTTCTATCTTTGGTCATTTGTTAATAGATTTTGTTGCAACTTGGTCAATATTTTGTCCAATATAAAGAATAATTACATCATTAAATCAAAAGAGGCAAAATTATGCCAAAGTCTGGTTTAAAAGAACGCCCAAAATTGTATGGACACATAATTACCCTTGACCTAGAATTTTACCGGATCTTTCAAAAGAAGTGGAATGGGTACCTGTTAGTGGATATTCCGCTGTGTTGGTTATGTTTTGACCATTAGTTGACCGTTCTCCTCGCCTCCTTTGCCCGCTTACATATTGATCAGTCCACAGATTTTTCTTCTGAAATGGCTGTGCTCCTTTTCTTTGACGAAGTCGTCCAAGCATACTCCCGAGATCATTCCTAACAATATTTCGTTTACTTCTCAGAGACACTTCTTGACTGTCATCCTCACTCTTCTGTTGCGATTGTCCATTTGGCGGAACGGGAAGTTCTAGAGGGAAAAAGGAATCACTGCTGTTTTCGCCACCTACAGATCGGACATCTCGGTACCTCCAGCCTCCTGATAGTTGTGTCCATCCATTCTGCGTCTTCCTTCCTCTTCCTCTTCGGTGATGCGCATTGATAAAGTCCTCAACAGACATGCCAGGGAGCATCTCTATTGGTCTACGTCTCCGTTTCCGATTCCAAGTAGTTGCCTGGCGCTTTTGTCGCCTCTCCTCCCCTTGCGCTGTGGCTGTTGCCTTCGAGAAAACAGGATCAATGTCGACTTCATCAAGCGATGATAGTCCGCTACCTCCCCATCTTCGCAAAGACACTTCTTGACTGTCTTCCTCACTCTTCTGTTGGGATTGTCCGTTTGGCGGAACGGGAAGTTCTAGAGGGAAAAAGGAATCACTGCTGTTTTCGCCACCTACAGATCGGACATCTCGGTACCTCCAGCCTCCGGATAGTTGTGTCCATCCATTCTGCGTCTTCCTTCCTCTTCCTCTTCGGTGATGCGCATTGATAAAGTCCTCAACAGACATGCCAGGGAGCATCTCTATTGGTCTACGTCTCCGTTTCCGATTCCAAGTAGTTGCCTGGCGCTTTTGTCGCTTCTCCTCGCCTTGCGCTGTGGCTGTTGCCTTCGAGAAAGCAGGATCAATGTCGACTTCATCAAGCGATGATAGTCCGCTACCTCCCCATCTTCGCAAAGACACTTCTTGACTGTCTTCCTCACTCTTCTGTTGGGATTGTCCGTTTGGCGGTACGGTAAGTTCTAGAGGGAAAAAGGAATCACTGCTGTTTTCGCCACCTACAGATCGGACATCTCGATACCTCCAACCTCCGGATAGTTGTGTCCATCCATTCTGCGTATTCCTTCCTCTTCCTCTTCGCTTATGCGCATTGATAAAGTCCTCAACAGACATGCCAGGGAGCATCTCTATTGGTCTACGTCTCCGTTTCCGATTCCAAGTAGTTGCCTGGCGCTTTTGTCGCTTCTCCTCGCCTTGCGCTGTGGCTGTTGCCTTCGAGAAAGCAGGATCAATGTCGACTTCATCAAGCGATGATAGTCCGCTACCTCCCCATCTTCGCAAAGACACTTCTTGACTGTCTTCCTCACTCTTCTGTTGTGATTGTCCGTTCGGCGATACGGTAAGTTCTAGAGGGAAAAAGGAATCACTGCTGTTTTCGCCACCTACAGATCGGACATCTCGATACCTCCAACCTCCGGATAGTTGTGTCCATCCATTCTGCGTCTTCCTTCCTCTTCCTCTTCGGTGATGCGCATTGATAAAGTCCTCAACAGACATGCCAGGGAGCATCTCTATTGGTCTACGTCTCCGTTTCCGATTCCAAGTAGTTGCCTGGCGCTTTTGTCGCTTCTCCTCGCCTTGCGCTGTGGCTGTTGCCTTCGAGAAAGCAGGATCAATGTCGACTTCATCAAGCGATAATAGTCCGCTACTTCCCCATCTTCGCAAAGACACTTCTTGACTGTCTTCCTCACTCTTCTGTTGCGATTGTCCGTTTGGCGGTACGGTAACTTCTAGAGGGGGAAAGGAATCACTGCTGTTTTCGCCACCTACAGATCGGACATCTCGGTACCTCCAGCCTCCGGATAGTTCGGTCCATCCATTCTGCATCTTCCTTCCTCTTCCTCTTCGCTTATGCGCATTGATAAAGTCCTCAACAGACATACCAGGGAGCATCTCTATTGGTCTACGTCTCCGTTTCCGATTCCAAGTAGTTGCCTGGCGCTTTTGTCGCTTCTCCTCGCCTTGCGCTGTGGCTATTGCCTCCGAGGAAGCAGGATCAATGTCGACTTCATCAAGCGATAATAGTCTTCTACGTCCCCACCTTCCAGCCTGATGTCTTGCCTTGCTGAACCGGCTGGCGAACGTACTGGCAGAGAAACTCGGCTTCTTCCGGCCAAAAGCTGACAAACCTCCGCTTGGAGGTTTCCCAATGACTCCAGAGAACGCACCGGGTACCCGCTTGGCGGCACTCGGTTGCATTGGACTCGAGTTGATCCGGTTGTATGTGATTCCCCTGTTGAACAAATTTTGATCTCGAATGTTCCCAAACCTCCGGTTGGACAACCCTGCTGGTACCTGAGGCATAATGTCGTGGGGTGGTTCTTGTAGTTCGTAACCCTCACGTTCAGCTAGGAGGTGATACAACGTTAAACAAATAGACGTAACATGAAATGCTAAAGTGCGTCATGCCACAAGTGTGCATCACGTTTTCTTGATAAAAATGTTAGCGTATATCTACCAAGTTTTAAGTCATGCAGCAACGGTTGTACAGGTAACGCGATATTAAAGGAAAATGTATTCTTGATATTTACATTAAGGGAAAGGCACTGAATTTTAGCAAACAAGACGACAGTGATTGCCTTCCCTAAGCATATTTAGTCAAATGATAACGATAAACTATTTAAATACCAGCTCACATCCTACGGCAAGACTGCTACTGCATTTTAAAAGACATTGTAATTGGAATAGGTTTACATTTCAAAATACTTGGCCTTTTCAATTATACGTCTCTAATTCGCTTGGCATATCTTATATTAAACCACTGCTCTACCCTGTATTAATATAAGAACGGGTAAATGAATGAATAATCAATTAAGTAAGTAAATAAATAAATAAACAAACAAATAAAAGTATGCCTGACTTAAAGTCTTTAACACCATTGATTCCTTAATTTCTTACCGCATTTCTCGAGGAAATCTTGAATATTATAGAGGTCAGATGAAAATCCGTGGCGCTTACACCCCTTCACAGGTGGCATACGTGATTTGGATAGCAGAAGGATATTCTGTGAAGCAAGGGCCTTGGGCAGGGCACAGTCACAGTGGATTGAGTTTCCTACCAAATCTCTGTACAATATAGAAGCATGGGAAAATGAAGTGCGTTAAAATGATTGATAGTCTTTATGATATAAAGAGGAGGCGATATATGGCGCTATCGAATCGTCGTCTGACTCTCGTGTCTTTCGTCATGCGCGTGAATTCGAGTCCTGCGCTGGGCAGACAGACAAAATACAAAAACAAAAATGATTGTCGCCGCGTTGTGTTTAAGCGCGCGCCTCCTGTCTTTTCTTGAAGCAGACTCGGGAGAAAACACTCCGTTCCTCGGACCAGAACCTTAAAAGGAGGACCCGTGTGTAGACATTGTGGCGTGCGCCTGTAGTCCCGCTAACAATGAAAGTTAAAAACTTTTTCAGCCGAGAACGCAGGTTCAAAACTGAGTCACGTCTTTGGGATGGTGACGTTTAAAGGCCGTTGACGTTTAAAAGTCGGTCCCCAACTAATCATATCTGATTGAAACACGTCTGTAAAAACCCAATACACACACATGAGAGTCACATCCTATATACATGTAGCACGTTATTACGCAACACTTCTCGCAAAGTGTGGTGTACCTGCAACAAAACTGGTAATCTTTCTGCAGATCTTCCTGATAGGATGCATAGCCCTTTGTAGATTAACAATAGAAGAAGAACAGAACAAATTATTGTTCTGATGCGATGGAAACTCCTCGTTTGAAAGTTATTAAAGGTTAAGCTACAGTCCCATATACGTCCCGGACCGTCCCGGACCATCCCGGACCCCATCCGGGGTGATCCGGGATTCGGTCCGTGTTGACACCGTGTTGGCACCGTGGTGGTCCTGGATGGTCCTGGATGGTCCTGGATGGTCCTGGATGGTCCTGGGCGGTCCGGGAGTCGACCCCGGATGTTTTTGACGGTCAAAAACTGCCGGGGTGGTCCGGGACGGTCCGGGACAATAGTTTGATCCGGGGTGATCCGTGTAGCCACCGTGCTGGGTCCGGGGTCATCCGTAGTGGCGCCGGGGCGGTCCGTGTTGATCCGTGGCAGTCCGGGAGTGAGTTATTGACCGCCCAGGACCATCCAGGACCATCCAGGACCATCCAGGACCATCCAGGACCACCCCGGTGCCAACACGGTGTCAACACGGACCGAATCCCGGATCACCCCGGATGGGGTCCGGGATGGTCCGGGACGGTCCGGGACGTATACGGGACTGTTGCTTAAAAGCATCACACTTTTTTGAACAAAACATCCCGGACCATCCCGGATCACCCCAGACCATGGTCCGGGATGGTCCGGAGTGGTCCGTGCTCGTCCGTGCTGGTCCGGCTTTATATGGGACTGGGGCTTTACCGGTCCCATATAAAGCCGGACCAGCACGGACGAGCACGGACCACTCCGGACCATCCCGGACCATGGTCTGGGGTGATCCGGGATGGTCCGGGATGTTTTGTTAAAAAAAGTGTGATGCTTTAAAAGCTACAGTCCCATATACGTCCCGGACCGTCCCGGACCATCCCGGACCCCATCCGGGGTGATCCGGGATTCGGTCCGTGTTGACACCGTGTTGGCACCGGGGTGGTCCTGGATGGTCCTGGATGGTCCTGGGCGGTCAATAACTCACTCCCGGACTGCCACGGATCAACACGGACCGCCCCGGCGCCACTACGGATGACCCCGGACCCAGCACGGTGGCTACACGGATCACCCCGGATCAAACTTTTGTCCCGGACCGTCCCGGACCACCCCGGCAGTTTTTGACCGTCAAAAACATCCGGGGTCGACTCCCGGACCGCCCAGGACCATCCAGGACCATCCAGGATCATCCAGGACCATCCAGGACCACCCCGGTGCCAACACGGTGTCAACACGGACCGAATCCCGGATCACCCCGGATGGGGTCCGGGATGGTCCGGGACGGTCCGGGACGTATATGGGACTGTAGCTTAAGACCAGTATTGGAAACGCCCCAATTTCAAAAAATGAAATGGAAGCTCTCATTACCAATCATGTGAAAGAATATGTTTTGACTAATACATGGTAATAAAAAATTTGCCGGGAAACCGCCTACTAATTCATATATTTGGTAAATTTGTTTCTCTCATGGTCTGTGAAAGATATAGGGTAGTCCCATATACATCTTTCTGTGTATAGTTCTTGTAACTTTACGAAGAATGGGCCAAATTTCTTATCATTTTGATGATTCCAGAACCTTGCAGATGCTAGATGCTAGATCAGGCCTTCTCAACTAGTTTATTAGAAGTGCCAAAACGAAAAGAATTTGTAGTTGAGGTGCCACCCTGTATGGTTGACTGTGCTGCGAGGGAGCGTAGCGACCGAGCCGAAAATGGTTGGGGTCCAGGGGCGAAGCCCTAACGGGGGTAGTAGGGGGCAGAGCCCCCTGAAGCTGGTGGATTTAGGGCTTTCTAAAGGCCCTAATGGGGCATTTTTAGCACCAGTTCATTCCACAATATAATCAATCATAATTTCATTTTGATGTGACAAAATTAGTACAATTCCTGGGTACAATTACACTGGAGGTATATTTATATGTAGTGTTTTGTGTGCAATAAACATAGGAAATGTCAAAATAAAGTGAAAATCAAACAACAAAAAAACAAGATGTTTCCAGAGATTGGCAATGTTAAAATTGGTATCCCATTGTAAGCTAATTGTTGTTCAGACCTTAGGTTTAGATTCGTATAAAATGGTAAAAAAAACAATAAATTCCCCTTTCTTCTTGTTTGTTAAGCAGGCATTTTGGGACCAAATTCGACTGCAACTTCTTGATTTAGCTGAGTATTTGATTCAAAAATATATATTTTCTTTCTTTCTGTTTTTTGTTTTGTTGTTGCAACAGTCGCGCGCCACTCCGACTGACCGCAAGCGCCACAAGTGGCGCGCGCGCCGCAAGTTGAGAAGGCCTGTGCTAGATGATCAACCGTTTCTGATCGATTTCACAACGTTTCTTTCACAATGCAATCGCATGACCATAACTAGTCTTTACCTTTAAGCTAAATAGGGGAATCGTACATTCAGCGCCTATATCACCTGATCAATTGTCACGTGAAACAATATTGTGAGACGCCTCATGATTTCACTGAGTGTTTAAAATTATTGCTGTTGTTGAAAAGTTTTCAGTCGGCAATCTTGTGGACAACTTAGCACCATTTCAGCAGGAGGAAATATCAACATAGATCATGATATTGTCGTAATAATTACGATAACATTAAATGATAAATTTCATTAAATATTATTGAATGAATTTCTCCTTAATGTCTGTAATTGTTTTAATACTTTTTGGAGCTTTTGTACTGTTCGATAGTATTATTTTAAAGACCATTCGTACCAAATTCAGGGATAATATAGTCTTTGAAGTTTCACATCAATTGCTTACTTCTGTATATTGATTATGATAGTACTTGTAGTTGGACCAACTGATGCGTAGTGGTCTTCATTTTTCTCCAGCTTTCGACGTAGTTGAGAACATAAATACTTCGATGGTTGTGAGTGCATTAGTGAATGTGCATTGCACGCAGTCTAAGTCACAACTCTACTCCATGTGACTTAACCGAGTGCAGCGCGTATTACTAATGCATGAGCTTCAAAACATGAATTAATTGTTTCATCAATAAGGTCTACAATATAGATATTAAGTTTAGAAATGAGCTTCAAACCCGAAAAACCACTAGGCGTGGTAGGGAAAATGATTTACGATCATGTGGTGTCGTTGCCTACATTCTAGAACTCCTTTTTATGAAAATGAGTAATGTTACATTATGCATGATTTGGACAAACAAATAACTTACAGTGTCTTTAGATTTGTGAGTTGTTCGATCGCTTTGCCTAAACCCGCGGGAGCCAGCCGATCAATAGTTGGGTGGATAGTTCTGAGAAGAAGAAAAAAAAAGTTATGAACAACTTCAGTTAAAAAAATACTTTGAGTGACATGAACTTTTATCTTGTAGCGTTCGATTAGAAATAATCAAGAGGTTCTTAAATTCCTACGCATTTTCTTAATCATTATAACTGTTACACTGACAATTTGAAATATACAGAACACAATATGAAAAGAACCTTTGCCGCAAAAAAAAAACGAGCAGAAATAATCATAACATTATAATCCATTCCCGACTCTCTCGAAAATTATGAAAAGCAACGGTTCGGCTGAAAGCACACTGCTTCATTTGTCCTCAGATTATAGAACATCGCGATCATAATACGTTCTGATTTTATATGTTATTTTCGGTTGTAAAATATGACAAGAGCTTTGGGCTCTTCTATGCAAATCAATTGAATTAGTTGGAGTCATGTGGTCGCTACATCTTAAAGGTATGAAAAAGGCAAGGGGCGAGGGGAGTGTGGAAAATGCCGATGTTGCATGAAAAGAGACCATTCTGCACTTCAGGGGTTTCTGCCATTGCTCTCAAGGGGCAAAAGTTTGAACCTTTATTTTTCGTTTCATTTGTCTAGAGTCTATGCCCCACATTGTACTAAACTTCAAGACGATGCTTATTTCTAAGCTTCGGTTAATCGCTTTCAACTAGAGAGCTAGTAAGGCGAAGGTTTAAGTTTTCTTTAGCTCAACGAGATCTTAGACACCGGTTCGGGTTTAGGGACATATATGTACTTACAGGGCTTTTAGCTGCTCAACATTCCTTAACATATCGTCTGGTAGAGGATTATCATCTGGTGACTTCATGGGCGGGTATATGCTGTTAGACAGGTAGAGAAAGAGAGAGAGGGGAGAAGAGACGAGAGAGAGGGAGAGAAAGAGAGAGAGGGGGAGAGAGAGAAGAGAGGGAGAGAAGAGAGAAAGAAAGACAGAGAGAAAGACAGACAGAGAGAGAGAGAGAAAGAAAGACAGACAGAGAGAGAGAGAGAGAGAGAAAGAGAGAGAGAGAGAGAGAGAGAGAAAGAAATATAGATGAGAGTTAACAGTCAATGGTAATTTAACGAAGATTATATCGACATTAAGTCAGAACTACGAAAGTTAAACGAAACGCTAACCTCGCAACTGGCTGAGATCAAATCTGGCCAAGATGAGCTAACTAGGTCTGTTGAGTTCTTCAGTGGGAGAGTAGACGAACTGACAAACGACATTAAGACGCTGAAGGACGACAACAAGTCTGTAAAAAAGGAAAACGCGGATCTAAAGCAAAAGTTGTCAGCACTAGAGAATCAAGTGAATGACCTTGATCAGTATCATCGGAGAATTAATCTGGAAGTGGCGGGTGTATCAGAACAGGAAGGCGAAAATGTGAGGGAGTCGGTATTGAAAGTTTTGAAGGTGGTCGCACCAGAGGTGAACTACACCGACATTGATGTATCCCATCGTCTAGGCCGCAAGAGGGAAGGTGTTTCTGGTTCGAGTCCAAGACCAATCATAGTACGATTTACAACCAGGAGGGTGAGAGATGAAGTGTATGCTGGTCGAAAGAAGCTGCGGGAGACAACTACTCGGGAGCTGGGCTTCTCAAGAGATGAGAGGATGATTTTCATCAACGAAAATCTTGCCCCGGCAACGAGGTCACTACTGAGGAAGGTGAATGAGGAAAGGAAGAAGGCTGGCTGGAAATTCCTGTGGACTGTAAATGGCACCATCCTGGTGAGGAAGAACCCCAATATGCCACCGATAGCCATCCATCGAGAAGAGGATCTCAACAAATTAAGTAGGGCCTAGTATGCTTCTGCCTTGTTGTACATTCATAATTTTATCTGTAAATGATGATTGACTTTGACACGATGACGAACATTTCCAGTGATTCTGATAATGTCACACAGGATATATTATGTGCTAATAATGAAGAATTGAAATGTGGATTGGATCCAAATGATAATGCTTCGGGTCTCATTTCCTCAAACTATTATACTGAGTCCTCGGCCAAAAATATTTTCAAAAGTATAACTGATTCTTGCTTGTCTATATTACATCTTAATGTTAGAAGTCTCAACAAGAATTATGAACAGTTTCGTTCGTTTATAGATAACACAGGAGTTCCCAAAAATACAGTATTAGGCGTAACTGAGACGTGGCTTTCAGATCAAAATAATACACTGTTTTCTCTCCCTGGATATGATATACTTACAAATAATCGTACAAACAAAATAGGTGGTGGTGTTGCATTCTTTGTGCCAAGTCAATTTGAATATGTTGTAATCGAAGACATGAAAGTGATGAATGAAATTGCAGAAACTTTGTTTATTGAAATTACTGATCGCAATAGAAGAAAAACTATCTTGGGAGTTGTTTATAAGCCACCTCAGAGCAACCATGCTGATTTTCTGGACACTTTGAATAATTTATTACACTATCACTCCGTTCAAAACAAAAAGTGTATCATAATGGGAGATTTCAACTATGATCTCTTAACGAGTGATGCTAATATTCATGCACATGATTTTTTAGAGACATTCCTCTCTGCCTCTTTCTTGCCACTTATTTCTAGACCCACTAGAATAACCAATACTTCGGCAACTCTTATTGACAACTTTTTTTCAAATGTACGCTCTGAATTTAAAGCTGGCATAGTTCTGTCAGATATTTCTGATCATTTCCCGATTTTCATGTATTATTCAGAACGATTTCAGGCAAATAACTCTCCTAGTGATGCACCTAAAAGACGTGTATATAATGACGAAAACCTATGTGGATTGAAACTAAGCCTAAAAGAAGAATCTTGGGATGACGTATTTAATACAGATGATGTTAACCAGTCGTATGAAATCTTTATTGGAATTTTTATGTCTCATGTAAATCGAAATATTCCTTTTTCTAAACCCAAGTCTAAAAATTATAAGAAGTCACCCAGACTACCTTGGATAACGAATTCGATTCTACGTTCAATAAATCGAAAAAATAAATTATACTATAAATATATATCTAAATTAACTGATCAAACACGGATCCAGTATACTAATTATAAGAATAAACTTACAGGAGTGATACGTACTGCTAAAAAAGATTATTATCATGATCAATTCAATCGTTGCAAAAATGATCTTAAAAGAACATGGAAGATCATCAATTCTACCATCAACAATGGATCAAAGCATTCTAAGATTACTAAGCTTAGACATAATGATGCAATAGTTGAAGATGAAGTTCAGTTGGCAGATATTTTCAACAATTATTTTTCTCAAGTTGGTTTTAATCTTGCTAGGCACATACCATCCACGTACCGTTCATTTCACCACTATTTGGGGGAGAGAAATGAAAGTTCTATATTTTTCTCTCCTACGTACCCACAAGAGATAATTAAGATTATATCTGGCCTAAAAATAAATAAGAGTGCAGGATTTGATGAAATTGATAACAACCTTTTACAGAAAACTATGAATTATATTGTTGATCCTCTCGTTTATATATTTAATTTGTCATTATTATCTGGACATATTCCAGAATCAATGAAAATTTCGAAAATAATCCCAATTTTCAAAAAGGGTGACAGTACATTAACAAGTAATTATAGACCAATCTCATTGCTTACAACCTTGTCTAAAATCCTTGAAAAGTTGGTCCACATACGGACCATGAGTTTCTTTAAAAAGCACAACATCCTCTCTGATACTCAATTTGGCTTCCGAGAAAAGAGTAGCACTACCCATGCCATACTTTCTTTAGTTCAAACGGTTGCCAAAGCTATCGATCAGTCTTCTAATACGGTTGGTTTGTTCATAGATTTTTCTAAAGCATTTGATACTGTTGATCATGATGTACTTCTTTACAAACTTTCTCACTATGGAATTAGGGGAAAACCGTTGACGTGGTTCAAGAATTATCTTAAAGGGCGCTCCCAGTTTGTTTCGCTGAATGGTAATTTCTCTGAAAGTAAACCTGTCCTTTGCGGAGTTCCGCAAGGAAGTATTCTTGGCCCACTTTTGTTTATTATTTATATAAACGACATCGTGAGGTCATCTTGTCTGCTTCAATTTATACTTTTTGCTGACGACTCAAATATTTTTTTGTCACATCGCGATCCAGAGCAATTGACGCAAATACTAAATAACGAACTTAAAAGTGTGGCAAATTGGATAAAAGCAAACAAACTGTCACTTAACTTAGACAAAACTAGTTACATGCTATTTAGTAATAAGGTTGCAACTTTGCCTAATTGTATAATTTTTGATGGTACTGTCATTCAAAGGGCCCGAACAACTAAATTTTTGGGGCTAGTTATTGATGAAAAACTATCTTGGAAAGCGCACACTGACAATATCTGCAAAATCATTGCTCGCAACACTGGTATCCTTAGTAAATTAAGACACTTCCTACCCCATTATATTATGTTATCCTTGTATTCTACGCTTATTCTTCCTTACTTGAATTACGGACTTATTGCCTGGGGCAGTGCAGCAACTTCCCAAATTAATAGACTCTTTATATTACAAAAAAGAGCGATTCGTATTATTAATAATGCAGATTTCCGGGCACACACGAATAATCTTTTTCTGAATAATAACATTTTGAAAATTAAAGACTTGTATATTTTTCGACTTGGACAGTTAATGTACAAGCTCAACACTAAACAATTACCTTTGCCTTTTAATGATATGTTCGTAAGAAATGATTCGATTCATAGTTACCTCACTCGCCAGGCGAGCTCTTTTCATTTACCATTAAATAGAACATCTTTTGCACAAAAGACATTTGTTTTTACAGGTCCAAAACTGTGGAATTCTCTTTCAAATGATATTATACAGTGTAATTCGATACAAATTTTCAAAAGGAGACTTAAAAGCTTTCTTCTGAATAGTTACTAGGCTATTGCATTCCCCAATCAAATATAATTTGTAGTGTGACTTTATGCAACTTTGATTATTTCTTTTTATAAACATGTATGTATTTATCAATGTTTTGCGTTTAAAAGTTTTTTTTTTTTTTGTATTACTGAATCAGTTACTGTTATTATTGTTGTTTTTGTTTTGTTTTCTCATAAAATGATAATTCATGATAATTACTTTTACAGGGGGGCTTACACCCTACAAGCTCTGCTTTTTAGTCGGCCCTCCTTCCCTTTCAATTTCATGTTTATTTTTTAATGTATTGTATTGTGCAAATTGATCTATATGTATATAAATATGTGAATATGTTAAAATATACCATCATTGTAAATATGAACGATTGAAAGAGGAAAAAATAAATGAATTGAATTGAATTGAATTGAATTGAAGTGAATTACAAAAAGAGTTCAATGCAAGTTGTCGAAGGGGTCATCCCGTTAGACCGTCTACCCACGAGACTGATACAACGGAGAAGTATACCAACATAAGAAGATGTAAAACATATTTTTTAAATCCACATTATTTTTAATGAATTGAAACGACATCAATCCAATCATCTAAATGCTATAAAGGGAATTAGATTGTAGGATGGCACAACGTTTACTTGATCATTAAATTTAGTAATATTGCATGAAGTTGATATTTGGCGCCGTGTAAATCAATGCATAAAATTAGTATTCTTGTATGACGAACGGCTGTCAAGTTTGCAAAGGACGGGGCAGGCCGGGGGTGGGGTGGGCTCAAGCCCCCCTTCAAAAGAAAACCTCGATTATAAATAAATTTAAGCGAGGAACAGGTAGAAAATGCATGCAAAAGCCCCCCCCCCCCATCTCTACAAAGCCCTCCTCAAGATTATTCTTCTGTAACCTAACCACACCCGACAACTTACACTACGTTAGAGACGTCATGCACTGCTGACAAGTAAGGCTCCACATCTTGGAATAAGAGCTGACGAAATTCACTGCAATGAGAGAAGAAAAACACATAGAGAAATCTTGGCATACATAGATGTAGAGTTATTAAAGAAAGCAACATAATTCATACCATTCAGAACATAGTAAAATCGTGATGCGTCTTACAATATTAGTTCCCATGTTATACATTGTACGTACGAGGGGCGCAGGGGGGGGGGGGAGGAGGGGTTCCGACTTCAATTTATCCGGAGTTGTGACCAAACACAGTCGTCAAGACTTTCGAAAAGTCAAGCTAAATTTATTTAAATAGCCTTGCCCATTTCTCATTGAACCCAAATAGTGAACCTTACCTTGACGTATTAAAGGTAATGCAAAGTTTTTGGGAAATTTCGAAAATTGGATTGACAGTAATTCTTTACAATTTTGATATATTTGGATGCCCCAGTGAATGCATTATATTTATAAGCACTTGAAAATTTAGCCCCTAAAACACTTCTGCTTTCGAGAAATTGAATAATCAAATAGCGCCTAAGGCCATTCCATCATGGTAGCTGCGATCATGAAAATCTCAGAATGTACAGTCCTGATATATAATTTCCAAACGGTAATATCCGATCGGTCGGTCGTAGTAAAAAAAAACATCGTTTTAGAGCTAAAGCGATATCAGTCTTGAGAGCGCGCTAGACAACATAAAGAGTTTATTATCTACAATTTCATCACTTTAGACTCGATTTCAACCGCGACAACGATCACTGAATATTGTAGGATCGCATATGCTTCCAATGTTCATTTGAACCAAATTCATGACCCCATATACTTGGTAATACCTTTAAGCCCAACGCACACTAGTCTATACAATTTTACGACGAATCGATTTTGGAAGAATTTGAAATGACATTTATAATCACATTAGAAACTTTTAAATCCTAATGATCGAGGATCCAAATAGTCATATGCTTAATAAATCCATATTTCAAGGCATTTCAAACTGCATTGAAGAACTAGCTATTAAAATTGGCTCGGAATTGTGGTGACGTCATTTTACCGTGAGTTCGGAAATTCCGACGGTCATCACGTTGAGTTTTGCTCAGTCGCTCTCTTCTCTCCTTCGAAAAATGTATTGACTATTAATACAAAGTTGGAATTTGGGCAAGAGATATTCATTTGGGAAATACCGTACTGTACACATGTCAATGCTACATCCCTTTTATTTAGGTTTTTTGTTGTAGATCTGGGACCCGTTTCACAAAGCCTTTCTTCATTGATAAATGACACAAATCAGTGACAAATCTGCTGATAACCAATCAGAAGCAAGGATTTCAATAGCTTTTAACAAAGACTGTCTCTTGTCACTGGTGACAAGTTTTGTGAAATGGGGCCAAGGACATTGTGCTCAGGGATGAGACCCCATCCATCCTCAGTCGGAAAATATCACCTCAAAAATTGTCTCCTTGGTATCTTTTGGGACTTACATTGAGGTGATCGGCTCATCAAACTCTACTGGTTTGTGAGTGTAAGGCCATGATTTGAAGCAGACAGCTGTATCCTTTTTCTCGGGACTCCCTCGGCAGATGCATCCGGTCGGACAGGCGGATGAACACCCGATATAGGTGGATACGAGTATGAATAGCAACACGCAGGTCTGACTGTAATATGTCTGCATCTTCTGAAATACAAAATACAAAACAAATACAAACGAACTAAGACATAAACAAACAAATAGATCTAAACAAAACTACCGAGTTTAATTAAGACCTTACAGCTTTTTTTTTTTTATTTGGTAAGCTAAATCGAGTACTCGAAATATTGGACAATATTATAAATGATAAATACATGTATTTATGACGCATTTGCTATTTGATGGATATTTTTCGTTAAATTTAAAGGCAAATAGGAGAGCTTTAATATAGATCTAATTTTAAGCGTCCGGATCCCCCCCCCCCGATCATAACTGTGTGGTTTTTAGTTACACACGTAGACCTGGTTTACAAATGGTTAGGTCTTTATAATGCTAGATGAAACCTGGATCAATAGGGAACTCAGTTCACACCGAACCAGATTGCCACTTGAAATCATATATTTTATTGTTCGGTATTCTGTCAAGTAGCGCAATAAGGTATGGTGTGAACTAAGTTTCCTATTGATCCAGGTTTCATCTAGCAAATTTCCTATATAGGCGACAATCTGGCGTCACAAGTAAATAATTTGTCTCTCGACAACTGCTGATTTCTTGTGCTGTATTTTGTCAAGTAGCGTAACAAGGTATTTTTAAAAAACAAAACTTATAGCGATTTTAAACTAACTTCTTCTGCTTCAAAATCTACGGTATCTTCAAAACGTCCTTCAATAAAAATATACAAAAATAAATAGAAATACAAAATAAGGTTCAACAAACCAAAACCTAAGTATGGAATTTAGGATTACAGGATTACATTACCATGTTTATACAAATCAGAGGCGGACATTGAAAAAGAGAAAGATAGAAAAAGGGCAGAGCAAGAAAAGAGGAGAAAAAAATAGATGCGAGAGAGAGAGAGAGAGAGAGAGATGATATGATGGGGGGGGGGGGGGGGGGGGGGGGGTGGGGGAGGCGAAGGTGCCCGGACACTTGGGCCACTCCAAACCAACTAACATAGCCTTTCAAAACATGAATAGTCTAGACTAGATATTCCAGCCTCTGATTTTTCAGAAAATCTCTAAATTGAACAAAAAATGATAATACATGTAGCCACCCATCCTTCACAGATCCTACGCTTGCTGGGCTACGCCCCTCGAAAAATGGTTATACGGTCACAAGGCTTGATGATGCATTTGACGTCATTGTGGGCATGTCCGATTCGATCATTTCATAATTTCATAATTAGGAATGACGAAATTGCCAGACACGTAGAGGGATTATCAGGTGCATATTATTTTTCATATAAATTTCTTTTCCCCCCTCTAATTTATACCATAGTTTGCCTTTTTAATGCCTAAATCACCCTCCCAGTTTCACCGGAGAGGCGCCTGCAGTGACGTCAAATGCGGCATCACCGAAACTGGGCTTTTTCTGCGCGTTCTGAGTCGCCATTTTTAAAGTTAGATTCCAGAATTATTGATGATTTCTAAGAAAAATCATTGTCATGTTCGGAATCTCCATCACAAATTATTCTACATGTTTTTTTTTTCTTCTTCATGTTTCAGCTCGTTTTGGTTAGACTGGCCCATAGGCTTTAATTTAACAAACATAAACATTTCTCTTCAGATTTAACAGAAAAAAAATCATCAAACAGCACTAACCATCGTACATAATCATTTTTCCTTCATAATATGATTTGTTTGTGATAAATCATGGGTCGAATATCACATTTCCTAATAATTTCAAAAATCTCCGGGAACTTTGGTCACCCCATCCGCCCCCCCCCCCCCATCATCATCATGATCATACTTGCATAAACAATCTTCAGCCGTATAAGTTAAACACGTTGTATAGATCTACTCACCGTTGTCTGCCGGCCTAGGTGAAGACAGATGGATACATTCTTTTTGGAGAACCTAGATATATTTCCTTTGTTTATGGAGGGATAAAACAGATATCACTATAAAAAACGCCAGTTTGCCATTATTTTGTGAATTCCCGAGATGCAAAACCCTATACCAAGCGCACGAAACGTTAAAAAAAAACACCTGTCAAACTTTGTGTGCGCGAATTAAAGCATTGCGCGTAACCATGGCAAATACCGCATCGGTCTGTACGCATGCGCATTAGAGAGATGTTCGACGTCACAATATAACAGCGCGCTGTTCATGGCAACAGCCGTGTATTCTTCTTCTTCTTCGTCTTGTATACCGCTTGGCGTAAACTGTGCACTAGGATCTTTAAGGTGCAAATCACTTTTTATTTCTCTTTAATATACTTTTTTTTTAAAGTAGGGGGGGGGGGAGGAGCTCGAAGCTCCCAATCCCCGCCGTTTCTCAGGCCCTGACATGTAGGAATCTCAAGAATCATATTTCTTGCCTAGCTGTAAATTCAGGAATTTGTCATTTCCAACAAACGCATAAAAAACTATAATTTACTCAAAAGTGAGGAAAATTGTCGGAAATTATATCATTTCAGCATAATTTGTAATCCACCGTTATGGAATTAGAAATAAACCACGTTTGAATTTGATTTCCCTTTCGGCCCCCCCCCCCCCACCCCCGATCTCCTTCCTCCCCTTTTCTTTTCTTCTTCCTCTGCTTTCTTTCCCTTTCTCTCCTCTTTCCCTTCCCCTTTCCCTTTTTTCCCTTTCTTTCTCTCTCTCTTTTTTTTTTTTTTGCGGGGGGGGGGGGGGGGGCCAAGGCCCGCTCGGCCTCCTTCCCCTGGATCCGCGCCTGATTTTGGTAGTCTCAGCGATCAACACTGTAGGATCAATCTGAAATGATTATCAGGGGATTATGAAATTATAAAGCTTGTTCTGTGTTACCAGATCATCAAGGCGATCAGCAAGGTGACTTGTTACAACTTTCCAACACGGCAAACTAACGCCTTCTTTAATTAAAGGTACTATGTCCCATTTGCAGACCAAACAAAAAGAAAAAGTTTAAATTCCAACGGTATTTGAAAGATATTACTAATTTAGAACTTCCCTCAAAAAGAAAGTGCTCGAAAATGTCTTTTTGTGGGAAAATAACGACCTTTAGTTTTCGAATCGGATTTAGGGATTGCAGTCCTTTTATCAATAGATCGAGCCAGTAGGTAATATTCTGATTTTCAGTCACTTGTACCGAATGGTCGTACGTTTTGTGCTGCGCAAAGATTCAATCAGTTTAATTTTGGCCATTACAAGATGTAGAAAAATGTTCATGTACCCTTTACAGCTCATTTTATGTATATAATTACCAATGAAAAAAAGAAAGAAGTCAGTTAGTATGTGACAGTGAAGTCTAGCAAGTAAACGGGTTTCATCGCATAATTTGAATATGAGGACACTGCTAACGTTTAAATTTCACAGATATAGGACGTACGTGACATATTCATAATTCCTGCAAAGATCTACAGAATTCGATGTTGGCTGCAAAAGGGATACGGTATCTTTAAAGGGAAAGTCCACCCCCAAAATAAGTTTGTTTCGATAGAGGCAGAATAATAAGAAAATCAGGTGAGTGAAAGTTTGAGCAAATTCTGAATGAAAATAAGAAAGTTATGAATTATTGAAGTTGTGATCAATCAAATACAAATTGGCAACTCTGTGACTTATTATACGAGCTCTCCTTCATTTGCTTTGTGCATAATATTCCATAAAATCATGTTTTCTTCGTTATTGATGACGGAATATATATGTGTTCCTTGCAGGGGGAGTATAGAAACATATTTGCAATTATTATATTTAGGGTGCATGTATGGTTGAAATTTTTCTTGAGGGAAAATGAAAATTTTAGATTTTTTTAGTACTGAGCAAATGGAAGTTGAGCTCGCATGATACGTCATAGAGTTGCCAATTTGTGTTTGATTGATCACAACTTCAAAAATCCTAACTTCCTTATTTTTAATCGGAATTTGCTCAAACTTTCACTGACTTGTTTCTCTCATTTTTCTACTCCTATTAAAACTAACTTAATTTCAGGGTGGACTTCCCCTTTAACGTAGCCCCATACGCATTGCCACCCTAACCTTAAAGGGATAGTTGAGTTCTGTTGCAGAGGGCGCTACACAAAATTTTTTTTTTTGTGAGATAATGAAAACTGAGTGTCAAATTTGAAAGAACATAATAATTAAATGACAACATCATCTTTGTTTGATCAAAATCGGTTCAGAGACGGCGGCTGAAATATAACGATTTCTAATAATTGTGTACCACCATAAATATTAGATATTTTGAAAATTTTGAAAAAACCTTTGAAAAAACGAAATAACGCCTTTTAAGCTACAGTCCCATATACGTCCCGGACCGTCCCGGACCATCCCGGACCCCATCCGGGGTGATCCGGGATTCGGTCCGTGTTGACACCGTGTTGGCACCGGGGTGGTCCTGGATGGTCCTGGATGGTCCTGGACGGTCCTGGATGGTCCTGGGCGGTCCGGGAGTCGACCCCGGATGTTTTTGACGGTCAAAAACTGCCGGGGTGGTCCGGGACGGTCCGGGACAATAGTTTGATCCGGGGTGATCCGTGTAGCCACCGTGCTGGGTCCGGGGTCATCCGTAGTGGCGCCGGGGCGGTCCGTGTTGATCCGTGGCAGTCCGGGAGTGAGTTATTGACCGCCCAGGACCATCCAGGACCATCCAGGACCACCCCGGTGCCAACACGGTGTCAACACGGACCGAATCCCGGATCACCCCGGATGGGGTCCGGGATGGTCCGGGACGGTCCGGGACATATATGGGACTGTAGCTTAAGCCCCAGTCCCATATAAAGCCGGACCAGCACGGACGAGCACGGACCACTCCGGACCATCCCGGACCATGGTCTGGGGTGATCCGGGATGGTCCGGGATGTTTTGTTAAAAAAATGAAAAAAAAGTGTGATGCTTTTAAAAGCATCACACTTTTTTTAACAAAACATCCCGGACCATCCCGGATCACCCCAGACCATGGTCCGGGATGGTCCGGAGTGGTCCGTGCTCGTCCGTGCTGGTCCGGCTTTATATGGGACTGGGGCTGTAGCTTTTAAAGCATCACACTTTTTTGAACAAAACATCCCGGACCATCCCGGATCACCCCAGACCATGGTCCGGGATGGTCCGGTGTGGTCCGTGCTCGTCCGTGCTGGTCCGGCTTTATATGGGACTGGGGCTTTAATTTCAGCCAATGCCGATGTTGGCTTTTTTGTTGGCATTTTCGTGTTGCTTATTATTACCCACAATTAGCCGGCTCATGTAATATTGTTATTTTTAATTAAATAACTAACTAACGGTCACCGTATTTTTTCTTAAGTGGAGCTGAATTGGTATGATCGTATTAGCTAAATTTCACACATTTTGGGGTCTAAAATTACCTTCATAGCAATTTTAGGTTCTAAAAGGGCACTTTAAATGTCATAGACAAGACAAAAGAGCAATAACCATGCACTTTGAAGGCATTTGCGGTCTGAAAACAGAACTCAACTATACATTTGGCTAATGAAGGCACTGTTGCAAAGCTGAAATAGGTTCACTTGACTTTATTGTGACTTTGTGGTTAACAATTCAACAATCTCGACTCTGTTTCATAAACGACGTTGGCTGCAAAAGGGAAACACTATACTATACCTTTAAGACGAGAAGATGATTTGTTAATTTATCTCGCCAATGCGCATTGTTTATGTCGAGAAGGTGAGTTGTTAAAAACTCACCAATTCCCCTTCTCGTTCGAAAATCAAAGCGCCTCGGCGAGTTTGAACAGCTCGCCTTCTCGCCTACCTTTGCAATAACTTCATCGGTATAGAAGCAGAAAATGAGAGAAAGAGAAAGGTGAAAGTTTGACCAATAATAAAAGAGTTACGAATATTTGAAATATGAGATCATCTCAATTGGCAATTTAGTGAATGGATTGTGACGTATACAGTTACGATTCAACTCTCCCGTTTGCCGTGGATTACATATATCATTAATTTCCCGTTTCCCCATAAGTGCCTTTTCCCTTGGGGCACTACTCAAAATATATCATGGATGTTGTCTTCACTGATTACACTGATTATTGATCTCTAAATATTTACCGAGGAAAAATTATTTCATTGTAAATTGCATTTTTTTAAAACTGTAACCGAAGACTTTTGCGCAGCGTATAGAAATTCAAACTTTAACGGAATTAAATTTTATCATACTAATGGTAAGAATAACCTATGGTAATCATTAAATGTAAGAAAAGTGGGGTTCTAGGACAATTACCCCCTGGACAATTACCTCCCGGCCTATTACCAGCGGGACAATTCACCCCGCAAGGACAATCATCCCCGGAAAATTCCTCCAAGGACAACCACCCCCGAGGACAATTAAATCCAGGGAAAATACCCCCTATATAGCTGAATTCCCCCCCCCCCGAGTCTAGTCTGTGTCTGCGGGGGGGGGGGGGGGGTATTGTCCTAGGAGTAGTTGTCCATAGGTGTACTTTCCGGGGATAATCTTCCGAAGGTGATTGTCCTTGGGGGTAATTGTTCTGATACGAAAAAGTGGTATAGCTCTTAAAGATGTAGTACCTCATCCTTTTTTCATACAGACAAAATTACCATTTTGGGGGTATAAAATAACTCTTTAAATATAGGTACGGAGGGCACAGAGACATGAAAATAATCCTTGCATTTCTTTTAATTGTGTTAATTTTAAAGCACCTGTATCCATTTAAAAGCACATACTTTAAGTGGTACGGTTTACAATTAAAAACAAAACTATATGAATATAAAAATTCCATTTATTCTATATCACTGTGTAAATACGATCATAAGTGGTTATATGATAACAAAACATATACAATATCAATGAAACATACGAACATTTTTTTGTAGAAACAACTAGCAATAAATCTGAGCGTATCGGCAGAAGTCTTTGGAATCCATCAGTTTTTTCCATTAATTTTATTCTTTATATTGTTTTAAAGAAAATTGTAAATGAATGACAAAACATACCTGAACCGAAATTTAAAAGTGTAATAAATCACTACGTATGACTGGCTTAACAGAAAGTAAAGTACTTGCAAACAACAAACAAGAAATGATAACGATACTCTTTTTTTTTCATCAGTTTGGTCAAAATTACATCTCAAATGTTCATGAATTGTGGGGGTGTCTATAAAAAACCAAACTCTAAACCTTGGACTTTGACGTAATGAAATCTGGAGCAAATGTCACTTGAACCCTCTTGTATACATTATATAGAAAGATCTGACTGACGGACGAGCTTATTTAGTTTGATCCATACAGAAGTTTGTTTTCCAGTTGCGTGTTTATAAGGGCACGGGGGGAATGCCCCCTCCAACACATCGAGAAAAGAATAAAGGGAGAAGGGGAAACGGACGAGAAAAAAAGATACCCAGGGGCCAATTCCCCAAAATTGGCTTCAGTGACAAATGACTGTTGTAGTTATAAGCTAGTAAAATTCTTGCTTCTGATTGGTTATCATCAGATTTGTCACTGATTTTGGTCATTTGTTATTGAAATTTTTTGTTTGTGAAAGGGGTCCCTGAACCTCTTCCCTCACCCACCCACCCCCAATCAGTAGCATTGTAATTTGCATTTCGTTATCCGAGTAAGACCGGAGCACACCCCCCCCCCCCCATTATTGTTCTAGTGTTCCATCAAAGATTGGTCTTACGCTACGCCATACACGTTTCCACAGTCCTCATCAAAATACAAGCAGGCTTGCGATACATTTCATCTTGTTTTCTTGTCATTATTTCACCCATTCTCCTTGTTATATACGTACAGGCCTATATATATATACATGTATAAATATATAGGCGTGAAGAAAATGGCCTAGGAACGTGAGACGTAGCTATACTTTACAAGTTTATTACGAGCTTTCGGCTTTTTTGTGAGGCCTTCTTCAGGTTCTGAAGTACAAACATATACAAAAACAAATACATTGTATAAACAAATATACACGGCATATATATATATATATATGTTTTCTCAAGTGAAGCGTAATACTTCAATAGGCCTATATTTATATAATTTGGATAGTGATATATTTATCAAAAGCATGCAATGTTTATGTAGAGTCATGCACTCTGTTATAATATCAATGTTAGTATGCACATCATGTCGATTACTATTTTTTTAAATTATATACCTCACTTAAGAAATCCAGCCATCTGGTTGGTCGAAATTGGAGTCGTGATTTAGTAATTCCCGTAAAGAAACGAAAAATGCCCAAACCGATTAGTAGTCCAAGAGTGAGATCCCTAAAAATTCCGGTTACCGGGAAAATAATAAACTTTTGCTGCGATACCCATTGGTTTAGGTGTTACGTTAAAATGTTCTTTGAGCGTACGCGGACACCATAGAATGCTTTTTGTCTGCGATTCCCAACTGTTTGTTAGCTTATTTTATTCTTTACGGTCCGGACACAAACACTTTCTTCGCAGTTGAGGTTGTACGTGTCGTTCAGACACGAAGACTATTCAGTAATCGACTGATACAAAATAGTTTCTACCATGTCATTGTCATTATCGGCATCCTTGATGAACTGCCTTTCCAGCTCATAGTATTTTGGTTCTTCCTTCCCGAGACTCATCACAGACCCTCCTCGGCTCCTGGGCGCATTCTCATACAGCAACTCATCAATGACTCCTATAATCACTTCCGGGTTATTCGGTTTCAACATCCGAACCGGACCGTTTGGATCGTAATCGGTTGCGGGGTTATCCGATTTGATTGCTAGTGTTGCGGAGTTACTCTGCAAGTCTGCACTAACGGTTCTCTGTGAAGGATCCTGATTGTTCATCGAATCTGAGCTGCTCTTGATGGAAATGGTATCTTGTAAGCCCGAGGGCAAGGTTTCCAAATAGCCAGTTGTCGATTCGGGAATTTCTGTCACGTTAGCGTAGTTTCGATAACAGCCGTTTGGTGGGTGATTTTCATAAGCGTTCATGACGATGACATTGACAACTGAGGGCCTGGCTTCAAAGAGGAGATCATAATGATCTTCATCGCCAAAGACGTCTGTGGTAATACCTAGGTTAGAGAAAGAGAGTAAGAGAGAAAGAGAGACGGAATCAAATGAAGAAAAAGATTTATTTAAAAAAGATATGAGAAAAACAACCAAAAGGGTAAGTGCGAGGTGGATTCCGCTGTTGGTTCGTAGTAAAATAAAGTAACACAACCAAGGGTAGGGGAAGGCGGTAGTTTAGCAAATCGTTTGATTGGTAAAGCGGTGTATACAAATATCAAAGAAGAATTAATTTGATTTCGCCCAATAACAGTTAAGTGGATTCATGATTTTCTATCAGGGGGTTGGGGGGGCACAGATCCCAAAATCACTAAAACTATATGTGAGAAGCATTTTTTGGCAGTTCAGATTAGCTAGGCTATGAAGAATTATTTTAAAAAGAGAAGTATTTCAGTCCATGATTCTTTTTGTTTTTTTCCTCCACCTCTTTCTTGTTTTTTCTTCAAGTAGGGAGACCCGTACCCCTCCCCCTCCCGATCCATCACTCAGAAGAAATAAATAACGCACCTTTCGCTTGGACCGATCGACCCTTTCCATCAGGGTATCCCCGAAGAACCCTCTTGGGCGATTTGATAGAGGGCGCGCATCCTTTTGGAAATCCGCCCATGATGGAAGGCTTTGTGACGTAGGTATAGTGTCCGTCATGAAGCTTGGAATCTCTTTCTCCATGCTCCACGTATATATGGTTTAGCGAGCATTCCCCCGAGCTCTCGGCGTTGAATGATGCGTTGGAAACTGTTTGGGTTGGCGTGAAAACAGGGTGGGTGCCGTTCTCCACGTGTTTATCTGCGTGACTTAAAAATTATAATGTTGCCGCATAATTATAATGTTATTTAGAAAATATATAACAAACTAATTATACACCCTCTCTCTCTCTCTTCCTACTACTACCTCCCCCTACTTCTCTTTTCTCTCATCTCTTCCTATGCATTGCTGCTCCATAAGAAAATGTCCTGACAGTTTAAAGAATTCTTGCACGTAATAGTGTAGAAAACATGGGTATAGACGTTAATATCTACGTTGCCCTAGAGCAACAACAAACATAACACATTTCGTGTAGAAGGAGAATTCATCAATATTCAGAGTTTGACCAACTATGACGAGATAACAGACAATGCGACATTTTGTTAATTATCCGCTGATCATCAAGTAGGTCCAAAGACTGCCTATGGATGACTCTTTGTAAAATAAATGAAGAGCGCCATCTAAAATATCAAACTATTTAGAAATAAACATGTTTTTAAAGCACTAAACAAGTTGTCTTCACCCACTTCTTGTACACGCCCCCTCCCCATCCACCCTCTTCCCCTCTCTTTCTCCTCTCGTTTTCTCTCCCTCTCACTTTCTCTGCTCTGTTGTCTTAGGTAGGTGAAGGATTTGTTTTATGTTTGATTACGTGTTGACAACCATGCCTATTTGGCGCTATTAGGATACCGCTTTCACTTTATTTTTCTGTACGAGGTGAAATGGCAACTTACTGACGACGTCGAACCACGACGACAATGAGAACGACAGCGACGATGAGGAAAGATGTTGACATGACGATGGCCACAGGAAGCAAAAAGGCTACAATTCAAGATACAACGAAAAAAAATGAGGATCAGGGATGTCCTTGATTAAAGGAACAAGTTTATACGAATGATTGAACACATGTGGCCCTTGAGTCATGTTCCCAAAGTGCATGGAGACATTTTAGGGGACAGGAGCACATCAGGTAAAACAGCGAGAAAAGAGGAATCTAAATGGAACAGGGGTAAAGGGTGAGAAAAGGAGTCGTCTGGACCACCTCTAGCACCCCCTTATCAAGAGGCCTTTCAATTCGCATGTCATTTTCTGAGTAAGACTGGTGCCCCCAATCGTTCCAGTGCCCCTCAGTGCCCACTGCGAGCTGGACAGCTACTTTTGGGTAATGTGACCATAGCATTAGTCGCGGCTTAACTTATGAGAATATCACCCACTTCCTTTTGCAGCCAACATCAAATTCTGTAGAACTTTGCAGGAATTATGAATATGTAATGTATGTCCTATCTGTAAAATTTCAAACGTTAGCAGTGTCCTAATATTCCAATTATGCAAGGTATCTCGTTTTCGTGCTAGACTTCACTGTCATACACTATTGAGTGACTGACTGGCTTTTTGTCTTCTTTGGTAATAACATCCATAAAATGAGCTGTGAAGGGTACATGAGTATTAGTCTACATCAATAACTCACTTCTTGTAATGGCTAAAATTAAACAGATTGACTCTTTGCGCAGCATAAAACGTAGGGCCATTCGGTACAATGGTCTGAAAATCAGACTATTACTTACTGACTTGGTAGCACTTAAGTCGATTGGACAACTAATAGTCGTTATTTTCCCACTAAAAGACATTTCAAGCCCCCTATTTTAAGGGAAGTTCAAATACCATTGGAATCTAAACTTTTCCTTTTTTTTTTGGCCTGCAGTTTGGTTTTATGGTCTGAAAATTAATTTGCGAGCAAGCCAAGCGAGCTAGGAATTTTTTTAAAGATTTGTGAGGTCGCAGTGCGAAAAAAATTACAAATCCAGGTTTTTTTTTTCATAAAGCTGTTCGTAAAGTTACGCATGACTTTACGAACGACTTGTATATGTCAATGATTATTAAATACATCAACTAAAGTTGAACTGTGCAGATGTAGATTAACATTCTTATGATAACAAACATTTTTAATGCAAAGCATATCTTTTGCCATAATTTAATTAAGGTTATTGATAATATCAGAAAAAACTTTGGGCATCCTATCTGGCACTTCATATACAAGTCATTCGTAAAGTCATGCGTAACTTTACGAACAGCTTTATGAAACACCACCCTGATTGGATTATACGTATCCGGACACCTACCCCCTAAACATCCACCCCCCCCCCCGGATAACCACCCCCAGTCAACTAACCCCTAGGACAACTACCCCCTAGGGCAACCACCCTCTAAGACGACGACTCCTGGACAACTACCCCCGGACAACTACCCCTTAGGACAACTACCCCCTAGGACAACTACTCCCCGGACAACTACCCCCTAGGATAGTTGTCCGGGGGTAGGTGTCCTAGAGGATGGTTGTCGTAGGGAGTAGTTGTCCGGGGGGGGGGGGGGGTAGTTGTCATTCATAGTACCCCTTTACCGGAGATTTTGGGAACACGCATGCAGTCCTTTCGGGAAGGGGGGGGGGCATGTAACAAGGAATTCAAGCAAATCATGCTTACGGGATTGGCTCGGTGCTGTTTGGGAAGGTAAAAACGGGTATAGAGTGCAGAAAGTGGTGTCACGTGCAAAGGTGGCGTGCCCAAAACGGACGGTGACATAATCATTGTGGGCGTGGTGCAACATGCAAGTGACTTACTCTCTAATTGGTTGATTGATGAGTGGGTAATCAAACCTGTGGATGTGACACGAGCTGGAGTTGTAGTGGTGTTTAGCGGAGTGGTGGTCAACGGAGTGGTGGTCAGCGGAGTGGTGGTCAGCGGAGTGGTGGTCGGTACCGGAGTTGTTGTGGCGATGGTTGGCGGAATCGTAGGAGTGATAGGTTTGGTTGTAGGTTTTGTGGTAGTGTTAGGCGTCGGGCTGGCAACCACAACATTTGGTTTATTAGATTGATTCCCCATTTCTCTAATGAAGTGGACGCTATGAAAGGAAAGTAGGTTGAACAGGTATAAAACAGAGATTTAACAAATAGGGGCCGATATAAACTTAACAGCTTTCAATACTTTGGAGAGGATTCTCAATCATTTGAAATGGATTCAACTACAATAGTATCAGGGAGGGGAAACAAACAATAAGTTCAAAGGAGGCGATTCCTGATGATCATTTTATGACTCAGCACAAATGTGGATTTCCTTGACTCTGCACAACAAAAATGTCGAGTTCTTATTATTTCAAATGTAGGTTTTGAAGAATATCAGAGAAGGTATGTCTGAAGAGCTTGCTCTTTAGATGCCCTCATGTTCAAAACATGACGAGAATAATGTTTAGTTTTAGAAATGAAAGGTTTAGATCAGTGAAGCTAATCCTGAGCGCTGGTATCGGAATCGTATTTGAAATTTGAGAGAAAATTGCTATGATTTATTCTGGATTGTTTACCCTGCTGTAGATTGGTTGTTTGAACCAGTGAAATAAAAAGAAACGCATCCAAACTTACTGGGCATCATCTTCGATAAAACCCACAGGTTCCATTTGCACATAGTGACCTGTGTTAACAAGCACATGATGAAGTGTAGGGCCTACTTACCCGTATTTTCTTCCAAGATTGTTTGGCACATGTCATCTACTTGTAATCTTGAACATTCAGTGTAAGTTTGGTTGGATTCTGTGAGAATGTATTTTTTTAATTTACCAGAACTCAAGTTTATCTGCAAGTTGTCATACCACATAATAATTATGTGCGTATCCAATTCATGTATTCAGCTAGTGAATGTGACTGTAAGCAAATTATTAAAAACAATTTCTTATCAATGACTCCAAAATCTCAAGGTATACACCAACACAAAACCAACTATTCCAACTTGCTTCCAGGCAGTCTATCTTACACTAATCGCTTGAACAGAACTCAGCTTTATATCTATATAAGACCGAATATGTTGTGAAAATGAACAATTCTTGGGTTGATGTCCGGGGTTGATGTTAGCCTTCACGTTTTTCTCACCGCAGCAACGTGGAGTTGAACCGGATGTACATGTCGCACTCCTCACTCAGAACTGTTTCCTGCCCAGTTTCCGGACGGACTTTTTAAGGCTAGAATATTAGTTTTACGTCACAAAAACGCGCCTAATAAGTCGTCGTAACAATCATGCTACGTGTAGATTGCTCGAAACTTTGAAATTTTCGTTGTAAAGTTTGAGAAGATAAAACACGTTCGCAACTACTATCGACAAATTCACTGAATGAGTGTCCCATAGAAAACATACGTTTTTGATTACGTTTATGCCATTGCATGGAATAGCCTTAGGTTGAACTTTCGAAAGTAGTTGGGATCGTGTTACATTAATGGTGATCATTAAAGATATTCGACGTTTACCCGCTCAAGGAAACATTATATAGCTACATCGCATAACTTTTAAAATTGTCGTGCAGAACGTTATTATTTGGAATACACACGTTTGCATCTTATATGGAAGGGAGAACGATAGGAAGATATAAAGAGAGAAAACAATTCATATCATTCCTACCAAAATGATTTAACTTTCACGCGAAATACATTGTAATTTATTGAAATGAATTAGGAGATCTATATTTTCATTCGATTTTCAAAGTTACATTTTAATGACATATCTTACGAGTGGGGCGGAGGGCTACGGGGGTGGGGGGGGGGGGGGGGGGTAGAACTTACTATCAGTAATAGTTCCATCGCAAAATCTGGTCAGGATATCAGCTGTTGAGAGCTAGAAAAGCCTTGACTCTCGGTTAATTATAATAAAATTGCATTACGTCTCTAAGCGGCTTCCAAGGAAAATAGTTGATAAGTAAAATGAAACAGATTTTGCATCAAACACCCTCATAGCTCAGAGACAGAGAGAGAGGGGGAAAGGAAGAGAGGGACAGAGAGAGAGGGGTGAGAGGCAGAGAGATACAGAGAAAGAGAGAAGGGAGAAAGAAAGGGAGAAAGAAGCTAGAAGAAGGGAGGGCAGAGAGAGAGGGAGAGAGAGAGAGAGAGAGAGACAGGGGAGAGAGAGAGTGAGAGCGATAGAGAGAGAGAGGGGGAAGGAAGAGAGGGACGGAGAGAGAGGGAGACAGAGAGAGAGAGAGAGAGAGAGAGAGAGACAAATACAGAGGGAGGGAGAGAGAGAGAGAGAGGGGGTGGGGGGGGGGGGGGGAGGTTTGGTCTGTCTCTTCATTCAGTGCGTTTCAAGTCGATGCGCAATGTTGGAAGCATGTTGACTGCAGTAATGAATATCCCATGGTATCAATCAGCAGTCTTCTTTATATAGCTCAACGCTCTCACCAAGAGGAACCTTGCCTAGCTGAGATTCTACTCCTATTTCTTTTCCTCTTTCATCTTTTCTGTCTATCTTTAAAAAAACTTTCTATATTATCCCACTTCTTGGTCATCGAGTCCGTTTGATAAATTCCGTTTATTTCATCCTCATCTTTCTTATTTTTCTTTCTTTCTACGGAGGAACAACTGCGATGGCACCACATTCTACATTCCCGTTTTTATGATCTTTCCATTTTGAACTTCAAAAATTCGCCTTTTGGCTTCTTTTTGTTCTTGTTTTTCTTTCTTTCATTCGTTGTTTTGGGGTCTTTTTCGATCAAAGCGGCAAGAAATTGTCGAAGTCTCAAAGATCACATGCACTGCGCACAGGTATCAGTATGCGGGACTCCATAAAAACGTTTGGACCAAAAACACGTTATCTTTTTCTTGTCTTAATATCAAACCTTTCCAAGAGACATTTCTGCTGTGATATTCTTCTGAATTGACATACAAACGGGAAGCTCACAAATTACTTTTCAATCTTTACTAAAACCTTTTCTTGACAGTAATGTTCTATACTGGTGGCAAACTGGCAACGTATTTCAAATCCAAGGACAATTTGCTTAAATACATCGTAGCGAATTGAAGATATATTATAGTATGTTGATGTTAATGAAAGCCGACTCAGGATATATATTTCAAGACCTCGTAGATTCAGGAAAGCAAAATTAACCCAGCTTCCCTCCATAAGCGCTCTTGACGTGTAGATTAGGTTTCAGGCATGTAATCTATTTACTAACATACAAACTCGCCTGAAGCTATATTGCCGGTCGAAAAGGATGTTGATTTTTTTTGTTGAGGAAGGGGGTGGGGTAGTTTTGTTCCATCAGTCATATCGGTGATGTTTCTTGCATATGTGAGGAGCTGGATGGGTGCGATCCATGCTTTACACTCTTGCTTGGACAATGTGTTTTACCCGCATTTGTCTCTCTTGACCCAGGGTTTGTTAAATGAGTATCTAGCGATTCTGGGGGCAATAATGATCGCAAGGGCCTCAAGAAGAACAGCATTCATGCCAATGCGGCTTCCCTGGGTTAACAGAAATATTCTTACTGTTGTTGTTCTTGTTGTCTATCATATTATTGTAATTTTTCTTCTTATTATTATTATAATTATTGTTATTATCATTATCATTATGAATATTAAAAGTGATAATAACAATAATTATAACAATAACATAATAACAATGGCAAAAATGATAATAATAAAAATAGTAATAATGATTTTTATTTAGATAACGCTTTTCCAGACCGTCCTTTTAATAGCTCTTCCAAATGAGTTACATATCTATTTCAAGTTCTAAGAGATTTTAACTGTTCCACTTCCCATTTGCCCCATAATTTTAAATAAGAACTGTTCCCTTTGTGGAAGAGAAGAAGAAGATATGGTACACTTTTTTTACTCCTGTAACGTGACCAAATTGATTTGGAGTTGTTTGACTGACTGGTTAACTATTGTAACACGCTGTAAAATAAAACTGTCCTTAATACATGTTTTGTTAGGTTTCATTGAAAAAAGAAATGATGCTTTAAACTGTATAATAATTTGGACTAAACAACAATTATATTTTTCTCGAATACAAAAGTCTGTACCGTCCTTTCGGACAATAAAACAATATATCAAGAATAGTTACACAAAATTAATGAGAGGCAAGTTAGTATATTTGCTAACAAAACTGACAAATTCGATAAAAAATGGATAAATTTTGAGAGGATTTTGATCCTTTAATAGGAGTATATTGAATTTCCCACATCCTTTTCAGTCATGATGTTGCATTATTATTTAATTTTTGTTTTTCTTTCCCTAATCTACCTGTATGTTCTTTATATACAGTATTATGGTTGATATTCGTTATGTATATCTTATTATGAATTATTATATGATATTCATTGGAACATGTGTTCAAATATGTTATCTTGATATTGATTTTCAATAAATGTCTGTTGGAGGGTCCAAAAAATGGAGAAAAAAAAAAGAAAAAAAAAATTTGTTTAATGGCAAACGTTTTTCTGGAATGCTTTCAAAATGATAATATAATCAATCGAACAAATCGGGAAAGAAAAATTAAAGGTGCGATTCTAGCTATATTTACGCGTTTTGGCTGCCTTACAAGGACAAATGTACGATGTAATTAAGTTCGTAAAACATTAACCAATAGGGACTCTTAGATTTGCACGTCGACATAGTGGACTGCTACGTGTGACGTTAAAGGCATTGGCAGTGCCTTGAAAGATGGGTCACACGTAGCAGTCCACTATGTCGACGTGCAAATCTAAAAGTCACAATGCCTTTAAAGGACGTCACACGTAGCAGTCCACTATGGCGACGTGCAAACCTAAAAATCACAGTGCCTGTACGTCACACGTAGCAGTCCACTATGTCGACGTGCAAACCTAACATCACAGTGCCTTTACGTCACACGTAGCAGTCCACTATGTCGACGTGCAAACTTAACATCACAGTGCCTTTACGTCACACGTAGCAGTCCACTATGTCGACGTGCAAACCTAACATCACAGTGCCTTTACGTCACACGTAGCAGTCCACTATGTCGACGTGCAAACCTAACATCACAGTGCCTTTACGTCACACGTAGCAGTCCACTATGTCGACGTGCAAACCTAACATCACAGTGCCTTTACGTCACACGTAGCAGTCCACTATGTCGACGTGCAAACCTAACATCACAGTGTCTTTACGTCACACGTAGCAGTCCACTATGTCGACGTGCAAACCTAACATCACAGTGCCTTTACGTCACACGTAGCAGTC